ATCTCACAATATGCCAGAAAAAAAATGACCTTATCTAGTGAAAGAGCACACATTTCTCTTTTATTTTACTCACAATATCAAGTTAAAATTACTACTTATTTCACTTTGGAATTATTTAAATTCTTGTTTCAAATTGCTTGGACAAAATTTCTGATCTGATGATGAATTTTGTTAAACATCACAATGAATTCTGCTCAAACACATTTATTGAGATGAGGAAATTATCCTTAAGCATTAAATCAACATTTGCCTTAATAACACAGGAGTCAGATCAATGTTCAAACTCACAGCTTCATTGTGTAATATCACGGAAAAGTCTAAAGAAATAAAGAACAAACTTTAAGAATGTTTAATATTTGTAAATTAAATCAAAGTGCTTGGCAACAGTCCCTTTCACTGCACTTAGAGATACAAATGATTACGTTAAAGTGTGATTTAATGGTGAGTGAAATCAAATTTTCAGGATGTAAGCCGAGGCCCACTGGACCCCGAAGATGACCGGATTCTCTCAGTGATCTCTTACCTGGGATGTGGTGTTTCCTCCATCTTTCTAGGAATCACATTGCTCACCTACCTTATTTTTGAGTGAGTAACTACCAACACATTTTGTGACAGCTACTGTTACTTTTGCGTGAAGCTAGCAGCAGTTTATTAGGATTTAAAGTGACAAGATGCTTTAAAAAGACTCGATCTGAAAGGAGCTACAATTAGATAGAAACTATCAGACTAAAATTGCATTTTCTAAGAAAGACTGTGCAAAAAATGTGAAGAATATGTTTGTATTTTCCAAAGCATAATATTTCACTTTTAAAATTCTACCACAGCTTTGCAGACTTGACATATCAGTCCTCATAAATAATGCTTAACTTGTACTGCTTTTAATGTTTGTTCTAGAGAAATGGTTCCCATAAAACTTTTAATGACATGGCTTTTCAGATCTTTACCTTTCCTGCTTGCTTGTATCTAAAAGAAATTAGTTTTGTGTCACGTCCTTTTTATTCCCCTTAGAAACAGAAAGGCACGGTTTACTTTTCTGCTCAGATACTCCCATCAGATTAAAGTGGTATAAATAATAAAAGCTTGATCTTGTTAACAATGATGCTATTGATAGGCTTGTTTAAAACTTTATTTCATCATGGTTTTCCTCACTAAACTGCTTAAATTATAGGTTGTTTTTTTTATGTTTCAGTGTGATTTTATTACCATAAAAACAAAAGAAAACATTTTGCATATTATTCAGATTGGCTAACAAATTCACCCATATCTGAATTTCATAGAAGAAGTATTTTTTTCTCCTGCAGGAAGTTGCGTCAGGACTATCCCTCTAAAATACTCATCAACTTGTCCACTGCACTGCTGGGTTTGACCATGCTCTTTCTCATCGACTCGTGGCTCTCATCCTTCTCCAACTACGCATTGTGCATCACAACAGCTGCTTTTCTCCACTATTTCCTCTTGGCTTCCTGCACCTGGATGGGCCTGGAGGCCTTTCACATGTACTTTGCACTGGTGAAGGTTTTCAACACCTATGTTCCAGCCTATTTACTGAAATTCTGCGCTGTTGGATGGGGTGAGAAAAAACTTTGAATTTTCAATAACATTTTGCAGAGTGGACTTTGAGTGAGAGATTTGCTCTTTTGTTTGGGTTTATTCTTGGACTAGTGTTTCAGATTTTATAAATCAGTTCTATTTCTTAAAGTACCCAAATCAATCAGAAATTTAAATTATAGTAAGAAATCCTGCAATTCAAGTCTGTGCAGGTTTGTGTGAAAGAACTAAAAACTAATTTTAAAGGGGGGAATATTAAGTAAAAGTGAATTTTTTTAGATTTACATTGTATTATAATGTAAATCTAAATAATCGATCAGAAACATGATTGATTCTTTCATGCATGTTTGAGAAATCTTTATAACTCCAGTGGCAGTGATCCAGGGGGGCTTAAAACCTGAATCCAGAGCACCCCTCTTTGGATATTTGAGCTATCCAAATCCTTCCAGCAAAAACGCTGAATCATGTTAAATAAATGTTGCATTTATGAAGATGAAATATGCAGGAGACAAAAGAGTTTGAGGGGCACGCATGCTAAGGAACCTCCTTTTAATGACCGCTGAGAGCGATTTTGACGTGGCTGATGTGCATCTTGAACGCACCAGATAGAGGCCAATTTCAAGGTGTTGAATTTAGAAATGACAATTCTTGTAATTTGTGTTAGAAAACTGGAGGTAACATGCCTGGAAAATGCATAATCTCCCTTTAACATATTCTTATTTCTTCTTTTTATGTTATTTTAAGGCTCTTCTTGCAAGAGCGTCATAATGTGAATCTTTTGTGCTTCCACAGGGATTCCTTTGGTGATCGTCAGCCTTGTGCTCGCTATTGATAAAGACGCTTATGGAAGTTCTGTACCTGAACAAGCAGGAGTGGCGCTCAAGTCCACTGACCAATTGTAAGACCTGCAGCAAGGAGCTAACACAAACATTATATGGTGTGGCTCTTTCTTTAATTTTTTCTCTCTCCATCTCCACTCCCACAGCTGTTGGATTCAGAATAACATTGTCTACTACGTCACAGTGGTGGGATTTATTCTCCTCATCTTCTTGGGCAACATGGGCATGTTCATCGTGGTTCTGATCCAGATCAAAAAAATGAGGGCCAACAAACCGCTAGCCAAGAGCCGCAGTGCGCTGCAGGACTTCAGAGCAGTCGCCGGCCTCACCGTCCTGCTGGGCCTCACCTGGTCGTTGGGCTTCTTTTCATTCGGACCACTACGAGTGGTTTTGACGTACCTGTTTGCAATCTGCAACTCTTTTCAAGGTGAATATAAGGCTGTTGGATTTTACTGCACAGTTATTTTTTATCACTATGTGTAATAATAAGCTATTTTGTTGTTTTTTTTTGTCCAGGATTTTTTGTTTTTTTGTTTCACTGTTTGATGAAGGAAAATGTGAGGAAACAGTGGAAAAGTTATTTTTGCTGTGGACGTTTCAGGGTCAATGAAACCTCAGGTATTTTCCTCTATTCTGCATTTGATTCCCACAACAATCATGAGTTTTCAGTGTGAATAATTATTTTTCTTTTATTCCTGCATTCAGACTGGAGCCGCTCTGTAACAATGGACGCTCGTAACAAAAAGGCAATCTTGTCAAATCTGACTTAATGCACTCTGACTTAAACATCTCCTCCACCAAGTCACTGACTCCACGTAATCTCCAAAACACTCGCACCGCTAGGTGGCAGTAGTGAGCTTCTGAATCAGGGAGACAAGATTCACCAATCAATCACAAATTTGGGTACAAGTAATTTTTTATAACGAGCAGGGAGAAATCACAAAAAGTACATTTCTGTTACTCAGGATTTTTTCTTACTGTTATGAACATTTCACCTTAAAGTATTGTCACATATGAGAAGTGTACACTAAAATGAACTAGGTTTAATTTATTTCATAGAACCTGGAAATGTTTTAGGTTAGCTTAGCAATACTAGAGGTATAAAATCTGAACTTTCAAGGATTTCAAAACAAGACAGATAAACATGTTTATATATTGTTACATCTATCACCGTTCTTATGTGTTTTACAGAAACTGCTGCTCATTCGTTTTTTATCTGTATGTTTCCACTAAAGACAACTACAGTGAACTGTGCTTGATTTTAATTTTTGAATAAATTATTTATTTTAATTAGATTTTATTTGCTGAGAACTAATTAGCTTGTGAGAATCAGAGATCATTTAAAATTTTTGGTAGCAGGATAAAATTGGGTAATTTAATGTGAATACATACAAAAATTTAATTGATGCAATATTATTTTTCTAAGATGTGTCCTGTGTAATTTATTGCTGAAATAAAGATGTGATCATGATTATCTTCTGCTTGACTTGGAGTTCTTTATTTTTAAAAAACAGATAAATAAAATTCATGGCAAATGTACAACTTTGAAATACTAATACTAAGAAGAAATCTATATTAGTTTTAATTTTTAGCAACTGAACCTTAAATTTGGATGTTTTTCTTTAGTTTTCAGATGTATTTTTTTTACTTATTGTACTTTTACTTATTGTTTTTTTCCAGTTTCAGATTAGTTTTTACCTCTTTAGAAAAATAGGGAAAAAACTTTATCCATCATAGACTTGAGTTGCATTACAAAAGTATTTTTATAATTTTAATAAAAGTGTTGAATATCTGTTTGTATTTATGTTTGCATCCTCTACTCATGTATCCCTTAATAAAACAATAAAACTTAATACAGCTAATTTCTCCCAATTGTACTAATTTAGTTGGATCAGAGTCGACTAACGTAGGTTTTACAGTTTTTGTAGGTTTCTCAGCTCCTGTATTTTTCCTGTAAAACATTTTAAATTATGCCTGATTGGAGTTGCATTATTTACTGCCTGTATGAAGAATTTAAAGTTACACCTGGAGCTACCGTAGAGCGGTTTAGCTTAGAGCAAATTAGTGCTTTGGAATGGCTGCAGTTCAAACTAAAAACCATGGTGTGAAAATTGATGATTGGGGATGCTGTCAATATAGGCAGGTTGTCTGACTTGTGCAACTTGTTTTTATTTCCTAAATCTTTTCCCTTTACAGATGTGCTTTGCTTTATGATGATCAAAGCAAAGCACATGTAATTTATCCCAATAAATTATACGAAACTTTGTTTTGAGGAAATTGAAGGGATGTGAAGTTTGTTGCGATGTTCTGCTTTCATCCCAGCTGGGAAAGAACAGCAGAGCATTCTATCCTCTTTGGTTCTTCAAACAAAGAGACAAAAAAATAAACAAAACTTCAGAATTTGCTGAAAGCAGTTTCTGTGAATCTGACGTTGTAATTCAGCTGAAATCTAAAGAGAGTGGTTGTTAAACTGTGCAAACCTTTCTGCCAGTTTGAACCAGGAATGTTTTGATTGCGCTGCGGTTCAGGCTCCTGAGGAACCTGCTGGATAGCATTCTGATCATAGCTGTAACCCTCCCCAGCTAAATCATCCAGTAAGTCTGCAGGCTCTGTGAGTAAAACGCTTTCTTTGAGGAGCAGACTCTGAAAACGATAGCAGCTAAGTGAATCTATGCTCTGATTTTGCAGTTTTCTTGTTGGTTCTGCTGGGTTTTTTCTTTCTTTTTCTTGGGAGGTGGGGAGATCAACCAGTCAATGCAAGCTTGTGCTCCCTGTTCAACGTTGGTCAGTCATCAAGACGGGTGAGACAAGTACGTTTCTTAAAGTTAACAGATGCTGGGGTTGATTGGGTAACACAAGAGTTCAGTTAAATTTAAAGTTTGCAGCATGTTGGGAATTATTGAGTTTGGAGAAGAAGCAGATTTGCTGGATTTCTAACAAACAAAACATAATTATATGTTTTTGCACAACTTGATTTCATTTGTGGTGAGCTCAGATTTAGTTTAAAATTGTCCTGAAATATAAAACTTAAAAATCTTTTAAGAGATAAAAGAGCAACATCGTGACCTACAAGCCTTAAAAAGAAACTCTGCAGTCAGCTACAGATTTTAACTGATGTATATAAAACTAAAGTTAAGCTAAAAACCCTTGGAGATTTAGATTTAAAATCATTTTTAAATTTCACCGACATGTTTCTTTGGGCCCGGCGGTGTTAAATTGAAAATGAAAGACAATCTGAGGAGGCAGTTAAAATGAGAAAGATGGGAAGGTAAAAGCTTGTCACCAATTGTAACAGGAGTTTAATTTCTGCACTGCCAAAATCCCTGATGCTTTTGTTTTTGGTCAAATATATAAATATTTGGTCAAATAAACAGAGATGACTCTCCTTGTACAGTGTCTAATTATTTTTTGATTGATGCTTGTTTCATTTCCGTACAGAAAATAATTTCTCAATCAAATTTTTGCTTCTTGCCAGCAGGATTCTTCAACATGACTAAACACAAAACATAAAGACAGAATAGAGACAGAAATATCATTATTGTCAGAAAATTCAGGTGTAACATCAACATAGAGGTATGAATCTTCACACAAAGATAATAAAGAAATTAAGATTAACATATACAGAAAGAACAAAGATATAAATGTATGTAACTGCTATCGTTCAAAGTGTTTTTTATGTTTTAGTGCAAAGAGTTTTAAACTAGTTTAAAGCAGATATGACATAAACATGTTTTCTGACAGCAAAACACTGTTTTATTGTGATTTTTCCTAGTTAAAAATAGTTTGAGCTTTTTTTTTTAAACATTATTAAATGCGAAAAGCATTTTCTGATTGTCCACTTGTGAATTTTCAGTAGCAGGTGACCCATGGAGGAGCGAACAGACAGTCCGGTACCAGTGAAGGTGGAGGAGAACCCTGACAGCGTCGTCCTGACGTACTTCAAGGGCGACATTAGCAGCATGGTGGACGCACACTTCTCAAGGGCTCTGGGCAAAGCCAACAAGGCCTACGAGTCGGGGTTAAGGTCAAAGAAAATCCGCAAAACTGTAAAACTAGGTGAGCATGTAAAAGAGTCACTGTATGACTTAAAGAGGCAGTACGTTATAAAAGTGACGTTCTCTCATCTGGAGTATTGCTTTGATTCTTTCATGCACGTTTACGAAATCCTTTAATCTCCTATGGCAGCCATTTGGGTTTTTACAAAACTCGTGGAGACGTTTCTGAGCTTCCACATTGCAGAGCACCACTGCCCCACTCAGTCCCTTCAGACTAGCCAGCAGCAATTAGCAAACACCTGGTGGAGCTGTGCATCAGCTGAGTTCATTATAGGAGGTACATCTCAGTGCAATGATGGCGAAATGTTTGTTAATAGAGGAGCCATGTTGTGATGACTTCCTGAAGGTGGGGCTTCAGAAAGGAGCTTCTTAAAGAGGCAGAATTTAAATTTAAATTGCAAAGTCGCCTGGTCGGTACCGGATTTGTTTCTGGTGAAGCTTGCATCATAACATCAGATGTAGGATACGAACGCAGCGTTGAACTAAATTATTTCAAGTAAAGTCAAAGTAAAAAGTTCATTTGCATAAAAGGTGTAACTTTCAAGTTAATTCAACACAAAACAGCAAGTTGTCATCACTAAACTAAACAAATCAAATTAATGTAAATAAGTCAAATACACTCTTTAGAGTGTGATTTATATTTGATATGAAGGATTATATGTGGCTGGAAAACACATAATACTGCCCCTTTTAAATCAAACATGATTCTCAGAGTGAACATTTACCCCACAGAGAGCTCAGACAACTGCCAGGGGAGCATGTCCGCCCCTTACTTCGAGGCCCCGGTGCCCCCGTTAACGGGACACATCCTGACCCTCAGCTCGGCGGAGGAGACGCCAGGATCCTGGAACTCGTTCAGGTCAAGAGAAGGGCCGGCGGTGCCCACCATCATGTGCTCCCTGTCCCCAGACGGGCTGAGTCTCACTGGACAGCAGTACTCGACATCCCTGCTCAACCTGCTGCACGGCGACCGGGGCGAGATGGGAGCCGCCATCGCCTCCAGCTCCAAGCCGGACCCGCTTCCAGGCTGGGCGGTGCCTGCGGGGTACAGGGAGTCTGTGGACCCTCCAATAGGCTTCGAACCTGGTAAGTCTTCATGTAATATTGACTTTTATACTTTAAAAGGAAGTGTTTATAAGTGTTATATTACTTAATTGTGTATTTGTATGTGTTACGTTTTTACTTTTAGTCTTTGAAATATCAGAATTCACATAGAAGTTTGTATCTTTTGCTGTGATTATATTATTTCTCAGATGATATCATCATCCCAGACTTTTTTAACCAAATACTTTTTTGCTTTTACACGTGTTAATATTTGGATACTTTTTGTTTTTACTAGAATAAAAGCAAGTCAAAGTGGTGCTACTTTCACTTGAGCACAATTTCAGAGTACCTGCACCTTTAAGAGCCGTTTAACTTTGCTTGATGATCTTTTCCTCTTTGTTTCAGGGCGACATGGGGATAAAAAGGACTTGTACTGGTACTGAGGTGAAACACGGAGTGCAGAAGGAACAGAGGAGCGCTTTAGCCACCGCAGCGTCTTTCTGTTGGTTTCAGCAGAGCAGCATTTTGATTTCCTGACGATGTTCTCTCTCTATTGTTTGCTGAGATGACCTCAGCACCTGAGCGCGCACTGGGACAGCCTCTGCTGAAGGAAGCTCTCGGTGGCAAACCAGTTCCTCAGCTTTTGGCATTCCTTTTTTAAGTATCAGAGCTGTGTCTCTGTTTTCACATGTCTAGAGGTGAAGCTGGATGATGTGCACTGTCTTTGTGGGTTTTACTTCAGTCAACAGGCCGGTGTTGAGTCTGAAAACTGTGAGCCTCTTAGATGTGTAAAAATTAATGCAGCTACAACCTGATCGACCTTTAGTTCACCTCGGTGAGTTTATGGAAGATACTCAGACAGGGAGGGGAAGCTTTGCTTGGTCATTAGCAATAATCAGAGGCAGCCACCACTGCTTACAAAGAAATAATAAAAGAATGATGCCTTTTAATTAAACAATGTGTTTCTGACCCTGTTGGTGGATTTGAGCCCACAGTCTTTATGAAGAAATGTACAGGATACCTAATAATCAGTAGATAGATGCTCTGAAGTGTTGGTTTCTTTGCAGGGTTTTTTTTAAATGTATATTTTAATTTCTCTTTATTTGGATGAAAAGGTAATAACTGAACTTTGTCTGCTCCTGTTAGATGTTTAGCTTTATAACTCCAGATGTGTGTGAATAAATTGTTTTTTTTTTTTTTTTTTTTTGAGGAAATTTATAGTTAAATTTGATATCTTAACACACTATAAAAATACACAACACCTTTATTTATGTTTGACAGCAAATCAGAATGAACCTTTCAGCACAGAGTATAAAATTATCTATGTTTCCAAAATGTACAGTACTGACCAGAGGATAAATGTCCAAAAGTTTAAGTTTGACTCCATCTGTAATCTATAATCTGGGGATTTTATGTTGCTTTAGGATTACTGACTTCTTCCTCTCTGAGTGGCTTGTCATTGCAGAAACTGTTTATGTGCAAATTTTACAGCAAAACACAAATTTAAAATAAGCTGAATTTAAAATTGCCATAATTTATGTAATTAACTGATCATTGTCAACTGAGGTTTTCTCAGATTATTGAGAAAATCAGTAAAATCTAATTGCACGAAAACACCTGAATTGAAGAAAGTAATTAAAAAGAATTAATCTTTTATTATTCTGTCATTTAATGACTATTAAAATCGTACATAATCCTAAATGACATAAAGCAGGACGAGTTTGGACAGATTTAATGTCAGATGGTGTTTTTATGTATTATATCTAAATATCTGGTTTTAACTATATGAAGAAACTAGTTTATTTGTTACCTTTTTCTTCAAATCAGTTTATAGTCAGCTATAGTTAATAAGATAGTTAACCTACTACCTTTCATTTAACATATTGTTGATAAAACTCGTATTCTTCCTTTTTGAGTCTGTATGGTTGAGCTCTGCCAGCTTCACCTATTAAACATGTTGGGCATTAAAAGTTTTGATTGTTTTTTAATAACTAAAAATTTGTTGCAAAAAGTAGTTAGAAAGAAAAATACATTTTGGGTATTCTACATGCAAATGCAATGTTTTTGTTGTTGTTTGTTTTAATATACGAAAATTATAAAGAATTAAAAACCTATGAATAAATATGTCTACTTTTTTTATTTTGTCTACTTTTGTTTATTTTGGAGGAATGAGTTTAAGTTCAGCAGCTGAAATTAGGAAACAAATTAAAATTTCTTATTTTTTTTAAATTTATTTAAGCCAAATAAAAAGACACTTTTGTTTTCTCCCTGTCTGAAGTTACATCTGTCGACACTTCTCTTGTTTTCAGTGAGTTAGAATTAACAAAATGATTTCTTTTTGATGGAAGACACAATAATGAGAGACAGAAAATGTCAGAGATTTGTTTATCAATGACTTCCGATTAATAAATTTACATAGAGTGATTACTATTGCATTAAACAGTGATTTAAAGCCCAGATGATGATATCATAGCTTTGGAAACAGCTATATCCCAGTCAGAGTATCCAAAGATTAAGATTACTACTTCAATATATTTTTTGACCAAAGTGAAAGTAAAAAGTAGCCATTCAAATTAATCAAGAAGTATTTGGTAAAAAAATCTACTCAAGTACTGAATAAATTATCAAATTATCAATCATTTAATATTTAAAGATTACATAATCAGACAGACCAAAATATAAAGTTAAGTGGAAATTTCAAGGATGAAAATGAAAATGATATAAAATATATAAAGAAAATTTTTCTTTCAACAAAAAACTTTAACAGAAACTCCAGATGTGTCCGTAGTTGGTGAATTTTTGGTTAAAACGTGTTTGTCTGTCATTCAGTGGGTAGAAAATCCAGGAATTTTACACCTGTAAGAGTACAAATACTTCATAATCAAATTACTCAAGTAAAAGTAAAAAGTACATTTTACTCCAGTAAATGTACTTGAATAATTGTAACACCATGTCTGACTTTTAATGACTCTATGTTCATCCAGATAAAAACTTTTATTTCTTTGCAATAAAAGGATCAAATATAAGTAAATCTCGTGCGTCCAAAATGAAGAGGTCATTGTTTACATTCAACATGTGATGTCATCAGTGCTGCAGCCTCATTCTCAGCTCGCCAACTATTTTCCCCACATGCCCAGAGACGTCAGTATCCACATTTCACTGTCGAAGCTTTATTCATAGTCGCAGATGGAGGAGTAGCTTTCCCCACAAGATGAGGTTGGATTAATGATGGTGCTGTGCTATTATTAGCTTCTATCCATCCGCTGCTGTGCGAACCACAGATGGGTTGCAAAATGGCGGCTCTGAGGTTCCAGCTGGAGCAGGAAGGCTGCAGAGTCACATCCATAATGGACACTTTGCAGATGATACAACCAAAAGAAAGAGGACGTTATGTCATTTTTAAAAATCAGGCTTCGGAATGTCGGAATGCATTCAACAAAAAATATATTGCATCATTGAAATTTTTAGGACATCACTTGCGCCACGTTTAGTTGAGTCTACAATCTACTTTTTAAGTCAAATAAATTTGTTGAGTTTTAGATTTTGAACCTAAATGTGTGAGTTTGTGGAAGATTTTGTCAAACCACCAAGAGTTGAAAAAATCTAGAGTATTTTAGGTTGGCACTTAAAAAAAAAACTGAAAGAAGAAAAAGGCAGGAGAGGGAACTATTTCCCAGAATGCTTAGCGGCGTGTTTTTGCATCCTGAGATGGAAGTGCGTTACATTGATATGACTTTTGTGTTTTATTAAACCAAATGTTTATTTTAAAGCTTGGGGAAAATGTCCTGATCACAATAAATGTTTTTATACGTTTATACACACTTTATACTCATAAATGAACAAGAGTGCATGTTTTTTTTTATGAATATATCTTGTTTTTATTTTTTATTAAAGATGTTTAAAGTAAATTACACTACTTTTAGCTGCAGATTGAAATATATCATAAATAAAATGTCATGTATAACTGTTGTAAAAATACAGAGTTACAGACGAAAACATTATATTACTGTATATTAATTGTAATTCTTTTAATCCTATTAATGGATGACAGATGAAAATCTGCTTCTTTGGCTAAATTTGACGTATCTATACAATGTATTCATGTTGACCGTCTCCTTTACGAAATAAATAGAAATTCACACACAAAAAAATGACTTCTATTGGCTTTCAAATCCTTAAATAAGTCACATTGTTGACTACATTTGTCCTAATTAAACCATATTTTATTTTTATTTCAAGTAATCTATAAAACAGACTTAACAGTTACTGAGCAATTCATGTCAGAAAAAAGATATTTATGTTTGCGAGTAGCTACTTATTTCCCATCCCAGGCCTCATTTCTTCATCCTTTTGACCATCTAAGGCAGTTATCTTCCAGCAAATGTACATCGAATGTCGCCTCCCATCTCCAGAGATCTCAGTAATCTGTGCCGACAGTGTTTACATCACATCTCTCAGATTACATTGTCAAGTGATTTAAACTTCCAAGCAATAGGATGTTGACTATGAAAGATTTCACAGCTCTTAAAGTTGCTCTAATTGGTCAATAAAAAAGTGATTTAGGTCCAGAGTGCCCGGTTGGGGAAGAGACAGTAAAAAGAGCGTTGCGTAACATCATAAACAAAAAGAAGAGAGTTATGTGACACTATCTAAACACAGCTCTATCTAAAATGTGTTTGTGATCATTTGGACGTAGTTCTGGTTCATATTTAAAAAACTAATTTCATCCAATCATCCAAGTTTTTTAAAAAACAGAAATCAGACTCCTGAAGCAAAAAGTGTTGTTTCCAATAGACACAAAGAAGCAAAGTTGAGTGTCAGGCTGCTAATTGGAAACTGCATGAGGAAAAATATGCAGATAAAACATGACAGGATCAGAATAGACAAGGTTTCATAAAAAGCCTTAGTGAGCCGCCATCTTGATCCATTCAACAATAAGATTGCTTTGTTTCTTTTAACCCTTCTTTTATTCTTATCAGTGCAACTGGACGGTTTGTTCCCTTTTGTTTATCCATTTATTTGTTGCTCGCTGGATTTCTTATGAGCACAGTAAATATGAATGAATAATACGTGGAGTAATGATTAATATTCACATAATCTTCAGATGATGTGTCAGATTAAACCTCTGGTCTTTTTACAGGTTTGACTAATAATTAAACACAGGTTGACAAAAAGAGAGACTGGATAATAAATACAGACTTAATGGTCATCTATCCAGTAAAATATTAAATTTAAAATAAGCTTAATTTAAAATTGCAATAAGTAATAATAATATCATTTCTGTGATACATAATATATTTATTTTAACATTCATATTTTTATTTTTAATTTCTTTTTAATATTTATATTTTTATTTTGTTGTGTAGATTTTGAAAACATGTGCAGGAAGTATAAATTTATATGTTACAACCTTTTAAAGCTTTTATCTGATTACCCAACATGGATGACGCCATAAGCACCAAGTAAAAGTAACACCTACAGTTTCAGAGCTTTTTCACCTTTCATATGGTAATTTGTCATTTTCCATGGAAGAAAAGTTTAGATTTATCGTTTCTATTAAAGCTCTATAATTAACAAGCGCAGGTAATCGACTGGGTTTTCTGGTAAGTCTCACACTGATGCCCTTTACGACACTTTAGAAACAATCCAGCTAAAAAAATCTCATTCACTGGCTGCACAATAGTAATCTTTACTGGTATTTCCTTGGTATTTAGCAGAGAAATTTCAATTTACACAGTTCAAGATTAATCTATATTTTCCTTCTTTATCATGTCTAAATTGCTCTCTACATACACTTTGGCTAAAACATCTGTACATTTGCTTGTGCATAACTTTAATAAGGTGAAAAATGCAATCAAGATGAAGCGTGATTAACTTTTCAAAGTTATTTTTAATTATCTTGTTTTGAATTTACTTTCATTTGTAAACCTTGGGAAAGTATTCAGTCCAGACATTTATGAATTTGTTTATGCACAACTTTAATAAGGCATAAAAATGCAATCAAGATAAAGCATGATTACTTTTCAAATTTATTTTTTAGCATTTTGTTTTGAACTTATTTCTTTTGTAAAAATGGCCACCATCTTTAATCCTTGGAAAGACTTGTTTTCTCAAATGATGAACTTTAAAATGTCAAGAAATTTCTTTATGAATCATCCCAGATTCAATATTATAATCTGGAATGATGTATTAGTTTTACATTTTCAACTAAACTTTGTTAAATATAAAACCATGCATGGGTTATGTGGTTGGACCTCATGAGAAATGCAAACCCTCATGGAGAATTTCGTTGATCTGGCGCAGAAGTGACTGTCTGGTGGGAACTGGAGGGGAATCTCATTAGTGGAGGTGCAAAGAAGAAACAGCAGCCAATCTTTGTCTCTGCAGGAGGCGGACATGGGAACGGCACCGGACACATGATCTTCCTTCCTGTTCACATGCTTTAGGAATACTCAGGCTGCTGTTGGGCTGAAAGAGGAAAACATTCAGTCCAAAATGATTCATACAAATTTAGCTGGTAGATTTTCTCAGTCAGTCCAGACTGACTGAATTTAGATCTAATGAAAGTTACACTAATGTCAGGTTTGATGTGTAGAGTCATGCAGGAAAGCAGTAACTTCTGCACACTACTACTAAATACGTAAAAAACAAAACAAAAAAAGAACTGACTGACAGAGCTCCAGAATGAGACCCAAAGGTTGCAGGAGTCACCTAAACACCTCAAGAGGAAGAGCTGAAGGTTGCATGGTCCACTAATGGAGCTAAAGATGGCACCGTACAGGACGCAGTGTCCACTGACAAGGCTGGAGGAAAACCGAAACCAAAAGGTCTGCTCATGTTTTCACCCTAATTTTTTAAAAGAGAGCAAAAAACATGCAATGCTTTTTTGTAACTGTCTTTAGGGTTTTCTCTCTCTCCTCTTCTTTTCTATGCAAGCCCGTTCACTGGCAACTCAAACACTTCATCTGTTTGTCCAAAAACAAAGAATGCACTTCAGCAAGTCTCACTTTTCCATCAGTGAGAAAAGACTTGAAGAAAAAAAAAAAACCAACATGATGAGTTAGTCTAATTGTGAGGAACTGAATTCTTTGCTGTGAATTGAATCTGCTTCATTCAGCTAAACACAGTCTGGGACAGAA